CGCACTCCCTTTGGGCTACTTGCTAATATAAGATTTAAATTCATAAAAGAAGAAACTCTAGAAAACACATAGCTGTTTTGTTTTGAGTTACACCTAGAAGTCTGCTTTATCTGCGACTTTGTAGGCTGAGTTGGGTTATGACATTATATTTCTGGGAACATCTTCCAAGATGCAAATATATTTCTTGGGCAGAGTAGCATATTAGTCCAATATCATCTAGCAGAAAACTCAGCTAACTTCCAGTGGATCATATTAGTCACATTAAGGAATTCAAAACAGGACAGGTTAGTTTTGATGAGAAAAGGCATCATAACATTCTGGGAACATGGAACGATGCTGACAGAAAACCAAAATAAGATCACAAAACTGGGAACTGAAATTAAGAGTCATCCCAGAAAGTAGAATGAAGATAACAAACATAGAACATAGATAAAGGCTGTCTTATCTGTAGCAGTTGGAAAGTTTGCTCCAGTAGCGAGAAAACTCTTAGAGTTAGGGGAGAGACTAGTCAGTATTCTACAGGTCCCTCATCACCACCACCAGACCATTACCATTCATCTCTCATGTGGAAATCCTCTTCTTCCCCCCTTAAAATTTCTGCTTCCATCCTCTTCATTCCACCTAGTCAATTCCTGAGCACCACCTATTTTTCATTGAAGTCTCTGGAACCTTATTCCTACTCTTCTTCTCATCTTGCTCCTGCCTCTATTAAGGGCAATTTCAGAGTCTTGGTACAATTGGTCCAACAGCATAGTGTTAGGAAGAAAGAAATTTTTCTCTACTCTTCTAGTTTCTTCTGGCTGGTCTAAGATTTAAATTGGCATATCACAGATGAACAGGAAAAAATCCAATTTAATACAAATGGACATTTCACAAGAATATGGGGGGCCCAAGAACAAATTAGGTAGGTGAAGCTTATATGCCATCTTGTGCTAAGGGGAAGGGGTAGTGGTTTGGGACTTGAAATTGGAGTAAAACAATTCACATGGAGGTGGAAAAGCAAATATTTGGTAAACAAATGTTTGCTTGGCCATTTAGAGACAAGAGGACACAGAGAAAATTGATCTCTAGGCCCTGCTGAGTCTTCCCCACTACATCTAGCCCATATTCTTTGTAGTTATCTCTGGTGATAGCTCTATTCTGGGAACAGACCTTTTAAGATTTTTTTAGACAGTTAAAGGGAAAATCGAAAGATTTTCCTGAGTCTTTTGTATCTTAGAAATAATCAACCTAATATAGTCCTTATGCCAAAGAGACACACTTTGGGGTGGCACATTTCTGCCTCCCAGTAGTAGCTTCAATGTTCTCTAACTTTCTGGTTTCCAAACATTAACTGTAGGCAACTGACACCCATGGCTGCACTCTGGGCCCTGTCATCACATGGATATCCGACTCCAGAATCTCAAACTATGTCCTGATATCTCAAAAGAGCGTCCACTGACAAGGTATCCCATTACCTTACTTCTCTTCACACTGAGACTTGCAGTTCCTTACTTGCTTACTCTCATTTCTCCATGTGTTGTTCCTTATGGCTCCACTTCCTTTTCAAATATCTTCTACATGCCAAACTGTGTCACTTTGTGTCAGAGCTTCTTTGTCTTCTGCTGAATTTGTCTTGCTGGATTTGAATCTTGGATGAATCCTAATATTAGCATCCTCCTCTCTCATATTCAACCTACTGAGTTGCTAGAGAGAATCACACAGTTATTGTGATACTGTTGTAAATGACTAGTTAATAATAGGAAAGGAGCACAAGGAAGGCAGGACATTATAGGCATGCTCTCTGAAAAACATTGGGGGATGGGGACTGGACAAAGGGAAGATAGATGTATGCCCAGTAAAGTTAGGATGACATGGAGAAGGTACTTGTCTGTCAGTCACACATAGGAACAAAGGTCATTGACCAGAATGGGTATGGCCACTGCAAGCATGTGAAGATTTGGGATATGTAATCCCCTGAAAAAAGAAGTTCACTCTTATTTCTCTTGGTGCCTTTGGCCCATGACTCACGCTTGGCTTCCAGGAATTTGCCCACACGACCCAAAGCCATGTGGACCCCACACACAATGTACTAATGAACTGCAACTAGCCTAATGTTGTACTGGACTGGCCTACAACATGGAAACAAAACTCTGGACACTGGCTTTGCTTCTAGCTTTACTGAAACCCATTATACTTCTATGACTGGCCTAAGGGAAATGGGACTTTGGAAGCCCAGGGATTTAATTCCATGCAAATAAAAATTGCTCATTCTCTGGTATGAGTTTCAGAAAATTTTTTTCAAGGGGTATTGTTTTGTTTTTTAGTTTTTAAAATATATCTTTATTGACTTAAGAGAGAGGAAAGGAGAGGGAGAGAGAGAGATAGAAACATCAATGATGAGAGAGTCGCTGATTGAGCCCACAGCCCGGGCATGTGCCCTGACCAGGAATCAAACACCGATCGCCTGGATCCTAGGTCGACGATCAACTGCTGAGCCATGCCTGGCAGGGCCTCATGGGATATTGTAAGAAGTCCACCTCCAGCAGCACCCAGTGGGGAAGAGGACCCCCCACTTTGATATTAATTGGAGTCACTGGCACTATAGCTTTTGTGAACCATGAGAAAGAAGATACCTATTAAGAAGAACTCCTGGTGGCTAACTGGCTCATTTTTTTTTTTTTTTTAAAGAGAGCCTAGCAGTCATTTCTACACAGGTGCCTCTCTTGCAAACTGCACTTCAGGGAGTAGCCTGCACTAAACTGCCTGCTTGAACTGTGTTTCTGCCATCTGAGCCAGCCCTTATAAAGGAGTTCCTGGAATTCTATTTCAACCAATAAGATGGAGGCTTTCCCCATCCAATCAGAGCTGTGAAGCTATATCCTTATCAACATCTTCACCTACCAATCAGAGCTGCTCCATTCTGACTATTCAAGAGGGTGCCTTTTGGACCAATCAAACTGCAAGGACTTGGAGTCCTTATTTGCATGAGGACAGACCAATCAGGGACAAGGGGCAGCAACTTATGTCTATATAAGCCAGCTCCCCTTTGGCCCAGAGAGTGTACTTTCCTTTTCCACTTATGACAGAGGACTGTTTCCCTTGCTGAGCTGAAACACTGAAGTCATCACACCAGAGCAGAGCAGAACTGTGAGAAGCATCAGAGCTAGCCAGAGAAGCATCAGTCTAGCCAGAAAGGGACCTTGGCCCCAGGTCCCCTGGCCCCAAGGCTGCATCACAGCTGTGCTGTCTTCATAGCCATGCTATATCACAGTTGAGTTGTTCCTCATTGAATAAAGTGTTTTTCTTCACCATATCCCAAATTGAGGATTCCTGCCCGTGTTGAATTTTTGCCAGCAACCATTGGTTGACACTTTATTGTTGCCAATAGCAGCAGGACCCTTAGAGTTCCCTGATAATCTTAAATAGGCTTGGACACCTCACCATTTCCACTCCCCACAACATCTATTCCAAACCTTCATCATTTTCCTCAATCTAGCCTTCTCATCTTTCTCTTGGGAAATGACTCTTACTTCATAGGTGGAATTTATATTATAGACACCTTGGAACACTTGCCCAGTCTTCTACAGCCACAACTTTCAATATCTTCCTATACCTCCACCCCAGTCTGAGACAGAATGTTCCTTCTTCCACTTATGACTTATTTATTCATTCAACAATCACTGAGAGCCTATTACATCCGCTGTGCTCAGGATACTACAGATAAAGAAGATGTAGACCCTACACAGGATCTTAAAATCATGTAGGAGAGACAAACCTAGAAAGGAATTATAATTCAATGTACAGTTATGGTATAATGATAGAAATATGAATGGATTATTACAAGAGCATGAAGGGAAAAACCACCTAACTCAGCCTTCATGGGAAGGAGATGAAGTAACATGAAGGGCTTTTTGGATGGGGTGTTGCTTGAGGTAATCCTTAAAAAATGAGATGTTAACTAGGAAAAGCTGAATTAGGAAGGAGATAGGAAGGTGAAAGATTAGAGGGCAGGAAAAGCAAAATTTAAGTGTAGAAAGATGGTATAAGTTAAAACATGAAATTGAGCTGTTCTTATTCTTGATTATGTCCTAGAACTCATTATGTGGCCATCCCCCAAATAACCTCAAAGTCAACAAATTTTTCCCAAAAATCAACTATCAGCATTCTCTTTAATATGCCCTGCTACTTCATGCCCTGCTATTTCATGTCTAGATGTCCTCTGCCCCCTGCACAGGTTTGAGAGCATTCTGATACAGCATTTTAATATGAACACATTTTAATGCAGTCTAAAACAATAATAAAACATTTAGCTATTCTTTTTTTTTCTTTCCTGAATAATGACTGTAATAGATACTCTTAATCCATCTCTCCACCTTTCCCTCTTAATTCTCTCCAGGATGATGATGACACAATGAACTTCAACAGATTGATTTCCCATTTTAATTTTCCATCAACAGTCTTAAGTTACCTTAAATGTTCTGCTTCAAGTTACATTTCTTCTGCTGCTTTAAATGCCCTTCCCTTTCCCTTGTCTTCCTAGAGCACCCCTACTCACCTTTTATTACCACCTTCTCACATACTTTTAGGAAGTCCTTCCAGTCACTCATCCTAGTCCCCAATTACAATCAACTACTCTCTCTCTGTGACCTGACTCTAATCTTTACAGTCACTCTATCAATTTTGTGTTCCCTTCATAAGACAATCTCTCTGAGAAAAGGGTTCATTCATTTTCATTTCTAGCACCTCCTACAGTTTTAGAACAGAGCAGGTGCTCAATAAATTGATGTTAAAAAATAAGTGAAGGAAGGAATGGGATCCAAAGACAAAAGTCTCACTTAGGACACTGGTGCATTTGAAGGCAACCCAAAGTAAAACCAGAAGTTTTGAATTTAAGGGGTCCTTTTAGCCAATCCTAGGAAAATTCATCATATTTCAAGAGAGTAAGATCTGCTGAAGAAATCTGAAAGGTAGTCTAATTTCCTAGAGCTAGACCTTAAAAGGTAAAAATGTTCCGGATCATGGTGAATCTCAAGTGCAGTGAGAGCAGTAGTCACTTGGGGAGAGCCAAAGTAAGGACCACAGTAGCCCCAGGGGAATTAGGTGCTGCCCTTTCTTAGAAAGGAGATTCCTGTGTGGCACTGTATGGGGGAAGGGGAGGAAGGGAGGACAGAGTGGGGAGGAGAGGAAGTTGGAATCCAATTACAGTTATGGAATATCAAAGGAATGCTATGGTTTTGTTTATATGCTTCTCTATATGTGTCCAGAGGAAAATAATATTTTTTCACTAACTAGTTTTTTTTGAAAGATAATATATAAATGGTAAAAATTCATATAATATAAAATGGTATTCAAGGAAAATAAATCTTTGTCCTACCCAAGGCCTCCATTATTCTTCTCCAGAGGTAACCAAAATAACATATTAACTATATTATATATAATCACATATGCAGAACTATATAAATCCAAACTAAATATATATTTATATCTGTATTTTAAACATAGTCAGTAGCATCTTATCATCAGGAGCTCTCCAGCTTAGCTTATAGAGGCTTTTAAATATTGTGGTAATAATACATAACATAAGATCTACCCTATTGAAAATTTAAATGTATAGTACAGTGAGAATTTATTTTTAAACTGCTACATAATAATCCTACTCTGACTGCACTATATGTGTTTAATTAGTCCACTTTTGATGAATAGGTAATATGTTTTTACACTATTGCTATTTTAAGCAATGCTTCAATGAAAATCCTTATACATATTTGCATCAGCCAGGATCCAGCAGGAATCAGATGGTATATCCAAAGCTTAACTGAAAAGAGTTTAATGGAGGGACACAGGGCCTGGCAGATTAATGGACCCAACAATAAATGGTTAAGTACTCAGAAACTAGCAAGAGTGAGAAGACTTCACCTCCCATAGGCACAAAGGGACAAAGGGAGGGATCAATGTTAGTACAAGCCAATAAGCCCATAGCAGTGAGAGAGGGCACTCAAGAGGAGATGTGGCCATTGATTGAGAAATGCAGCCACTGCCAACACTAAAGCCATCAGAGTAAACAGCCTGACTTCTCTGTCCTCTTGGGTTTTGCTTTCCTTCTGATACATCCACTGAATACAAGTAGAAGCCAGAAGACAAAGGAGGCCAACTGATGCAGTCCATGGAGGTTAGGGCCCAGGGTTCAGGTAGGTAGGGTAGGATCAAAAATCTATCTGGAAGGGATAAATAAAGAATAACCAGTATAATACATTTTGATACAAATGTGCCATTCATCTGTTGGAAAATTTCCTAGGACTGGAATTGTGGTGTCAGTAGAAAGGAAAGAGTCCCCTCAACATCCTTTCTCCTCCTCTTACATGGTTATTACCAATGCTCAGCTGTGCCTGTGGCTGCTCAGAATTAAGGTGACATTCCCCTGCCTCTTAAAGAGCAATTGTCACATACAGCTTCTGAGAAACTTTTCTGAGAGACAGCTTATGTGTGCCTTTTATGGATATTGTCAAGCTTGGCTTCTTTTTAAAAAATCCTCACCCAAGGATATGTTTTTATTTATTTTTAGAGAGAGAGGAAGCGGGAGAGAGAGAAAGAGAAGTATTGATCAGTTGCCTCCTGTACCTGCCCCTACCAGGGGTTAAAGTAGGTATGTGCTCTGACCGGGAAGGAATCAAACTCAAAACCTTGTGGTATGTGGGATGACATTCCACCTAACTGAGTCACCCTGGTAGGGCAAGCTTGGCATTTTAAACTGAAATTTTCAGACTGACTGAGTTTGAATCAGCTACTCCACTGATGACACATGTGATCTTGAACACGTTTCTTAATCTTCTTGTGACTTAGTTTTCTTATAAGAATAATAATGAGTAAATGAATTAAAATATCTGAAACATGTAGCCCAATGTCTGTCCAACACAGCAAACACTCAAACATAGCTATTACTATTAGTATTATTATTATCATGTTTAATTGTCCTTCAAAGAATATGTACTGCCTGGCTGGTGTGGATTAGTGGTTGAGCATCAGCCTATGAACCAGGAGATCATGGTTCGATTCCCAGGACACATGCCTGGGTTTCAGGCTCGGTCCTCAGTAGAGGGCATGTAGGAGGCAGCTGATCAATGACTCTTAAGATTGATGTTTCTACCTCTCTTTCTGGCCCCCTTAAAAAAAAAAAGTACCAATTAGTCTATTCAGTGTTGGAAAGTGTCTCTTTCTACTTCCCTTATCAATACTGTGCATTAGCAAAGATTTTTGTCCAATAGATAAATAGTGGTGTTTCGTTTTTATTTTAAATGCTTTCTAAAATTATGAGGTTGTGGATCTTTTTGTATTTTTTTAAAGCAGTTATATTTATTTTTCTGCTGAGCTTTCTTTTTGTATCATCTGTTTAGTCTATTGGTTTTTGTTTTCTTTTATATTGTACTTTGTTTTTTTAAAGCAATTAAAGTATTATGGAAATTAGCCTTTGTCTGCTATGAGTGGTGCAAATTATTTTCTTAATTTTTATGTCTTTTGACTTTATTTTTTCTACATAAAAATCTTAAATTTTGATATCATAAAAATGATCCTTCTTTTCCATCATAACATCTGAGCTTAAATGTTTACATGTTAGAAAGCTCTTTCTCACTGAGGATTATAAAAATAATTTTTCCTAGTTTCCTCCCAGGGCTTTATAGATAGATTCATATAAAAAATACTTTCTCCATCTGAAATTAAATTTGGGGTAGATAGTGAAATAATTAAAGGAATTCTGGGTTGAAAGTTGACAAAAATGAGCCCTCTAACAGATAAATCCTATAGAAGTTGTACTTTACTATGATACACACAATACATGCATTTTAAACAAAGCCTGCCAGGAGCTATGGCATGCAGATGTTGGATGAGCTTGCCTCCTCAGCTTCTCTTCTTTTTGCTGTGAGAAACATACAGGTTGTTTATAATGGCAATTTGTATTTCAGGTTAAGGTCTTGCCAGGTCCAACATACTTACTTTATCAGGTTGCAAAACTGTGTTTCACATATCAAATCACATGACTTTTGAAGTATAGCACTCCCATCTTAGCACTCCCCTTTTCTACCTTACAATGGCTACTTTGAAGATAAGCAAGAGCAACAAAATTTGGTAGAAAACAATGACTCCTTCCCCTCCCCTGGCTCTTTGTAAAAAATTTCCACCCACAAAATTCCAGGGAATAGCTGACCGAAGAAGGTTAATTAATGCTTATTTTCGCTTTACTAGTCCCCCACCTGTTCCCCCTCCCCAACCAGGATATGGTTTTTGCCTTTATATTCTCCCTGCAAAGACTGTTTGGGGCTGAGTGTTTTATTTTGGGCAGGAACCCCCTTGCATTCTCCAGCTAAAATCGCCAAATGGTCAATTTGGTCTCTGTGTGAATTAGTCTCACGAAGGTCCGGTACAACATTTGGAGGCCCCAGCAAGATCTAATTCTAAAATTTCTCCAGGCTGCCAGGCCTCAGTGACTGGCCCGTGGGGAACTTCCCGTCATGGGGGGTTACCCCCTGAAGAAGTTCCAGGGCCCTTCAATGAGAACTTCTCCCCTGTGGGTCGGAAGCTGACGCCCTATAGTCATCTATCCATTTGGAGTCCCTCAGGACGCATCTGGAGGTAAGAAATAATTTTGAATTATTTCCTGGTTAGACTATTCTCTGGATTCTCACCATTTAGGGCCAGACGTGGCTGTTCTAATCGTGTGGGATCCCTCCTTGGGTCAGGATGCCGATGGAGGGATTTACCTGGTTCTGAAAACCTGTTCAAGGGGGAGACTAATCACCTCCCCGGATCTATAGAGGTCCCAGTCAGGTTTTGTCGGGTGGGAATGTCATAACCTCTGAATGAGTGTCATGTGAATGTGTCTGTAGTCCCACTGCTTTCGCTATGGGATCTGAGTGGGTCCTAATCCGCTTCCGTAGTTGGCCACAATGACATAACAGTGACTCAGCTTTGGCTGACCAGGCCCGGGGTTTAAACAGGTGCACCTTAGTCAAGGCCGAACTAAGTCCCCGCCAGGCAGCAGATGGATGGGCACCTGAGAGGATCCATTCAGGGACTTGCCTTCCCTTTGTCTGTCTCCGACACTGTGCACAGAAAGATCCGGGTTCAAGGAATACGTAGAATTTATCAATTTGTTCAGTTTCTCTTATTTCACTTAGTCTACATATATTAGTTCTCTGTGTTACAATTTTGTTTCTATTGTCTCAGGTATCTTAGAGGATCTTTCTTGATTTGGTCCTATCCTGTTCTCTTTAGAAATCTGCTCTCTCCAAAGATCACGGACCTAGTCTTCCAAGGCAGCCTCTGACTATATTCTACACCCGAGGCCCAGTTTTTTCCATTCCTTCTCCTCCTCTTTCTCACGCCGCCTGTCTCCTAATCTGTTTTCCCTTCTCAGGACAACGGGACTCGGCCTTTGCCTCCATCTGGAAGACATCGGGAATCTTTCTCATTCTTTTTCCCTTGGCCGCACCAGTTGTTTTAATTAGTTTCACTGTGGGTGGGGGTAGTTCAAAAATCAGAACTCCGCTCCATCGTATGCTCGACCATTGGGAAGAGGCTGGTTTTGGCACAGGGAGATATGGGGAGCCCCTCTCAAAAGGCACTGTCCTCCTCTAGAGCCCCTCCTCAGACCTGCAGTTCAACCTTAAGGGCCACTAGTGCTGTTCTCCCCCTGCAGGAGCCCCACCCCTGGAGTAGGTGCCCTGCGTGGTGGTGACCCAGCCTGTGGCTGCACTTTGCCATCCACCCCTTTCTCAGGGCTGGGCTACTCTGGCTGAAGGTGACTCGAGGGGAAGATTCCCTTTTCTTGTTTACATTCCCTTCTCGTCTAGAGACCTATGTAACTGGAAAGCCCAGAATCCCCCTTTCCGGAAAAACCCTTATTGGGCTACTAGAGTCTGTGTTTCACACTCATTGCCCAAAGTGGGATGATTGTCAGCAACTTATGGTTACCCTGTTCACTTCTGAGGAATGTGAAAGAATTAAAAAGAAGCCCACAGGGCAGTCTTGGGCCCAAGGGGGGGGTCCCTTAGAAGAGAATAGAGATAGAATAGAACAATTTTTCCCCACAAATTGGCAGGAGTAGGACCCCTTTCTGCTAAGAGAACAACAGTCCAAGGGGCCACTGAGAACTCTGCACAATATCCTTGGCCAGCCCAATGGACTATTGACATAAGCAAAAATACTGTCACTAATTCTTTTCTTGTAAATCCTGGACTGTCCTATCCCTTCCTGGGAAGGGACCTCCTCCACAAGCTTCGAGCCACTTCTCACTCCACAGTGCCCACTAGACTTTACCCCCCAGATGCTGGGCTTTCCTTGTGCACGGGATGATCTCTCTCTCTGTGGAGCATCCCCGGGGCTCAGGGGGACACTGCCTCCCCAGAATAGTGTTCAGGCTGCACCACAGCCCAGTGCCTTCCAGCGAGCATGCCAGCCTTCGCCTACCAGTCAGCCCTGCACAGAGCCTGTAAGGCCTATAGAGAAGCCAGTACAGGATGCTGAGAAGACTATATGGCTGCCCAGCCGCAGGAAAGAGCAGCTCCAGCCCCAGCTCAATGAACACCCCAAGGCACCCATTGTTATTGAAGATAGTCCAGTTCCCTGCACCCCACCAACACTTCCATCCTGTGCCCAAGAGCACCAGTCTCTTCTACAGAACCAGGGCACACTGCCACCTGGTTCTCCACCCATACACATTATTGACAATGTTTTCAGTCTGGCCTCCTGCCTTAACTATCTGGATGTGCAGATGCCCAAGGTCACATCTGAGCCTGATTCGGCCCCAGTCCCCAAGGATAGCTATGACAAAGACTCCAGGGGTACCCTGTCTACCCAGGAGGCCCCTTTGATGGTGCATTGCTCACTTAGGGAGAAAGTGGCACTGGACTTGAGTGTAAAGAAACTCACGGCAGAGGCTCCTCCTATCAAGGTCTCTAGTCCTGCAGTGGACTCCAAGCTCCCTGTAGCTGTGGGTGTGCCAGATGCAGAGAGAGCAGTCTCACAGCCGCCTGGGGTGCCAGTGACCACAGAGACCACCCCAAAGACCAACTTCCACAGCTCTGTGGCCTTCATGATCCAAAAATTCAAGATCCTCTGGCCGGCACTCTTGTCTGCAGCTATGGTCCCATCTGTGCCCACCTCAGTCCCTTCCTCTGACCAGCCTGCACCCACCACTACATCTGTGCCCACTGGACTACAGATTCTCAAACATCCCTTGCCCATAGCCTGCTTTGACCTGGCACTGCCCCGTTCTCCACGTGTACTTGTGACCACCCCAGCACCTACTCTGGCTCCATCACCTGCTCCAGCCCACGCTCCTACTCCAGCTTCTACCCCTGTCACAGTGGATTCCCCAGAGCAACACTTTGCAGGACTGCATGAATCCCTGTGTAATGCCATCTTGGGCTCAGTGGCCCACTCCCCACCTGAGAAGCTGCGTGAATGGCTTGAGATGGCTGGGCCTTGGGGCTGGGCAGCATGGCACAATGGCCAGGCAGTGCAGGGGCTATTGGGCAAGCTGCTGTCCCAATTGCAATGCTTTGTGTGCATGCAGCAGTGCCCCTTCCCCCATGTGGTGAGGGCTGGCTCCATCTTCATGCTCATCCCCCTGGTGAAGGAACAGCTCTTCCTGAGGCTGCCGCCTGCTTCTGTGTACCACACGCTGCAGGAGCACCTCGTGGTGCTCCGGCCCACCACATTGTCAGAGGAGAAGGCACTGCGGGAGCGAGCCCTGCGTAGCTGCACCTCATGCATGCTGAAGTTGCTGGCACTGCGCCAGATGCCTGACATATACCCTGACCTGCTGGGCCTGCAGTGACGTGACTGTGTATGCCACCAGCTGAAACCCATAATGGCCAGAGATGAGCCAGAGAGCCTATCTCTGGCTCAGAAGTCTCCCTTCTCCAAGGCCAAGAAGCCAGGGAGGAAGCTACAAACTCCTGGCCCAGAGAAAGCAGAGACAACTGCTGGCGGAGGGTCCTGCTGTGCCTCACCTGCCCCCAATGCCAGTGCCAGCCCACCCAGCCACACACTGAGGGCCCACTGCCAAAGCTTGCTGGAAACCACCTGGCTTAGTGGCCTGGAACTGCCCACTTAGGACCACAAGGCCTCAGGAGCAGCCCAGCCCTCACTGTACCCACAGCTGCTAGGTGGCCAGAGCCATCTCCTGTAGCATTGGTGGCTGGTGCTGTATGGATAACTACTGTCTGGTAATCATTCTCTCTACCCCTCCATTCTGCCAGCCCAGCTATCCAGGCCAGGAGACATGCCCTTGGAGTTTGGTTCTTATCCTGCCCTCCACCCCCAGCTATGCTGAGAGTCCCTGAGCTTGTAACTTGAGGTCCCTTATTAGAAAAGACTGATTTCTGTTTCATCCTGAGAGAAGACGTGTGGACTTTGGAGCCGCACTGACTTGGGGTCAGACCCTGGCTCCTATGTTTCTTGCTGTGTAATTGGACAGCCCTTATTTACCCATTTGTAAAAAAGGACAACACAACCTACCTCACAGGGTTGTTGTGGGGGTGATGCCTGACACACACCAGTTATAGTTTGCTCTCTGCTCCCTTCACAGGACAGGGGCCCAGATCCCAGCCAGTGCCTGGAGTTTGAGGCTGAGGCAAACAGAAGCTCCAGAAAGTCTTAATGTGTCATTGGACTTGGTTATCTTGGTTTGATACAGTGTAGAGTGTATATGACTCCCATACTTTTTAGATTCATCCCCCAGGAGTGCCTGTGGCTACAGCCCCAGTGTTTGGGGTTGGGCCCTAAACCTCAGCCCTGGGGGAGCCTGCACTCCCCCTAGTCCTCCTTATACGTGCCCTTATTATAGGCCCCTGTCTCCTTAACTGCCTAACCTCCTTCATTAGAGACAGAATTAACTCTGTAAAACTAATGATCCTCAGAACTGAATATAATTCTCTACTCTTTGAAGGAGAATCAAGGATTTAATTCTCATCACATTTTACAAACAGGAGTGGGGACTGACATATAGCACTCCCATCTTAGCACTCCTATTTTCTACCTTTACAACTGCTACTTTGAAGATAAGCAAGAGCAACAAAATTTGGTAGAAAACAGTGACCTCTTCCCCCCTCCCCTGGCTCTTTGTAAAAGATTTCTGCCCACAAAATTCCAGGGTATAGCTAACGGAAGAAGGTTAATTAACGCTTATCTTAGCTTCTGTCTATCACTTCACTTGTCCCCCACGTGCTCCCCCTCCCCAACCAGGATATGGTTTTTGCCTTTATATTCTCCCTGAGAAGACTGTTTGGGGCTGCCTGTTTTGTTTTGGGCAGGAGCCCACTCGCAGTTGCCAGCTAATAAAATCTCCAAATGGTCAATTTGGTCTCTGTGTGAATTAGTCTCCTGAAGGTTGGATACAACACTTTCAGTTCCTGATTGTGGGCACAGTCTCTTTCCCTGCCACCAGTGCCATCCTGCTATCTGTTCACAGGTTAGATAACAATGCCAAGACATTTTTATACATCTGCCAATGATGATCCATCTGTGGACATATGCAGTAAGTTACCACCCATGTTTCAAGACCAAGGAGGGATTGAGCCTAGCAAGCTGGACCTGAACATATTACTTTTCCCCCCCATCTTTGTTTTTTACCAAGTGGTTTGTCAGTTATTATCATAATTGTTGAGAACACAAGCTCTAGATTAAAACTATTTGACTGTGTACTTCTACTCTGCTACTCGAGCTATGGGTCAAAGGCCAAATTTACCTAATCTTTTGTGTTTTGATTTCTCCTTTTTCAAATGAGGATTATAATATAGTATGAGGATTAAATTTTAAAAATGTGTAAAAAAAGTGCTTACAAAATTCTTGGCAACAAGTGCTAAGTAAATTTTAAAAAGGCCCTTCCTGATCCAAAATATAAATATAACTCCCTTGTTTCTCCTAGGACTTTAAAAATTCATTTATATAAAAAAATGTATAATATTCATAACAGATGTTACAACATGTAAAAAGTGTATAACATCATAATTAAAACATTTATAAGAATGAAGTATTATAACTTCTTAAATAGTATCATTATTACTATTATTTGAACTATGCATTTACTTGGAAATGTCACCTTTGTCATATACTAAATTTGCATATACTTTTGAGTCTACCTCTGGATTTTTTATCAGGATTTACTCACCAGTTAATCACATTTGTTTTATAATATACTGTACTTTATTTTATGGCAGGACTTGCTTATTTCATATGCTTCCTTTTCAGAATTTTTTTCCCGGCACTTTGATATTTATGCAAAAACCTTAGACCAGCTGTTCTCATTTTAAAAAATCAGTTGTTATTCTATTGGGGTTGCAATAAATTTACACATTAATTTAGAGAGAATAGACATTTTTACAATATTAGCTTTCCCTATTCCAATATAAGAAATAGATCTCCATTTATATTTAAGCTGTTTTTCTTTATAAATGTCTCTCAGAAGTGTTCTAAAGTTTTCTGAAAGTCTTCCTCATATAGTTCCTGCATATTTCTTAAGTTTATTTCTATTTTCCTCCTTCCCTTCTCCCTTCCTTCCCCCTTCCTCCTCCTTCTCTTTCTTCCATTTTGATAAATGGCACCAATTCTTTTATCATATTTTCTAATTACTTCTTGTTTTTATCACAAAACTGTCAATTGAACCTTTGTGAGCCTGAATCATGTAACTGTATCATAAAAATGAATGATAATCTTCTAATATTCCCTTATTGCAATTATGTAAAATCACCGTTTGTAGGGAAAAAGATAAACTGAGTGAAGAGAATACCTATTTTAGAAGAGAGGTGCTAGAAGAGAGTAGCCTGAGAAAGCAAATGGAGGGAAGGTAAATATGATTAAGAAAAGAGCTGACTGTGAGCAAAGTGATTAAAGTAACACTCAAAGCAGGTTAATTTGAAATAGCACACATGCACACACACAAATACTTGGATATAATCAAAGCTGTACACAGGCAAATTTATGACTTTTTAAGTGATTGAATTAAAACTAGATAAATGATGCCTTTTATTCAAGAGACAGACATAAAAAATCATAAGTTAATTTTTTATAAAGCAGAAAATTAGTAGCATAAAGAGATAAATAACAAGGACTGGCTTCCTGAAAAAAATTACCAAAACATAATCATTAAAATCAAAACTAGTTTAAAAAACAAACAAACAAACAAAACAACAACAACAACAAAAACCCAGAAAATTCAAGCAGACAAAATTTAAAAAGTAAAAGGCGGTAACAGTATAGAGCTTTTTATTGTTAAAAAATTCTAGGTACCTATGCCAATAAAACAGAAAATAAATGACTTGGGAAAAAATATAAATGACCAAAATTGATTTTTAGAAAAAGTATCAAAAGAATGTAAACTACCGATGTCATTTTTTAAAACTAGCGCACCGTGACACCAAAGAGGTGATGGACAAGGCCCAGGAACCAAATTGCCCATCTAGTACACTGCCGGTGGGAATGCAGACTGGTGCAGCCACTATGAAAAACAGTATGGAATTTACTCAAACAATTAAAAATGGAGCTACTGTTTGACCCAGCAGTCCCACTTCTAGGAATTTATCCTAGGAAGCCAGAAGCACCAAACAGGAAGAATATATGCACCCCTATGTTCATAACAGCGTTATTTACAATAGCTAAGATCTAGAAATAGCCGAAGTGCCCATCAGTAGATAAGTGGATAATAAAGCTCTGATACATTTACACAATGAAATACTAAGCAGCTGCAAAAAGAGATTTCTTAACCTTACAACATCATGGATGGACCTGGAGAATATTATTCTGAGTTAAATAAGCCAGTCAGAGAGAGACAAATATCACATGAACTCGCTTATATGTAGAATCCAGTGAACGTAATAAACTGACGAACAAAATATGCCCAAAGGTACAGAGGCATGGAACAAACTGACATATCTCGGGGGTGGAGGGAGAGACAGGAAGAGATTAACCAAAGAACTTTTGTACATCAATGCATAACCAATGGACACAGACAACAGTGTGGTGAAGGCCTGGGGTGGGGCAGGGGCTGGAAGGAGTGAGGTAAAGGGGGAGGAGAATTGAGGGACATATGTAATACGTCAACAATAAAATAAAATAAAAATTAAAGATAAAATAAACAAGCTCCCCAATTAAAAAAAAACCACACATCTGGAGGCTTGATAAACAGAGTGCTGGGCTCTAAGAGGTCCTGAATCAGCCAGCCTGAGCTGGGCCCAATGATTTGCACTTCTAGCAAGGTCCAGGTGATGCTAATGCAATTAGTTCCAGCACCACATTTTTTTTAAAGGATGTGTAGCCTCACACCCTGAAGACTGGAGGAATGACTGGACTCAGCAGACTTTTGGGCGTCTCTTCTGATGATGAGTAGATGCAGCCTGTGTGGAAGTTATGTTCTGTTTCAGGGGCCTTGCCAACCAGGGTCTCCTTTTGTGCTTATTTATTCACTTGTTGTTTGCCTACTTCAACCTTAGCCAGCAGAGGCACATGTTTATAAATTCTAAGAGCTTTTTGGTTTCAATCCAGAACCAGATTAGCATGAGCGTTTCTTTGCAGTGGACAGAACTTTTTCTAGCCCCCTCTTTCCACTGAAGTTGTATCTTCAGGGCCTCTGGCTTTAGGGGGCATGCATGTGTTTTGTTTTGTGTTCATTCTGCTCTTTATTACTACTTTCATTGGATTTTATTTGTAGTTTTTTACCTAGTTTTCAACATGTATGTTTACATAATTGATTTTTAACCTTGCTTTTACCTAATACAGGCATTTAATTTCCAACTTTCTACCTGAAGTGAGCTCAAGGTTTAGTCTTCTGTTCATTCACAAGTGGCTATTAAAATCCAAATTCCTTGTTTGGGAAGGTCAACCAACACCCTAGGACAGTCAAGGCCATTAAGGCTTGCTGACCACCCTAGCCTTTGGCTCTTCTTCATTTTTTTTTTCACTCCTAGGGAATTCCTTCTCTTTCTCACCAGCTCAGATTTGCATTTACAAGTCTGCTTGTTATATTTTATGAATCATTTATAGGTGTTTTTCAGTAAGTGGCTTTTCAAAATATCTATTCTGTCATATCACTAGAAATATAAGTCTAAAGATAACAAACTACAGATTGTGAGAATAAAATGAGAATACCTATAAAGTCTTTAGCTCAGTGCCTTCTAGATAAGTTCTTTGTAAATA